CCCCGCGCGGTCTGGGACGCCCGCTGGGGCCCCGCGCTGCAACAGGAGGTGCACCAGAGGCGCGTGGCCGCGCAGCACTGCCAGGTGGAGCGGGCTGCGGCCGGCGCCGTCCCTGCGGGCGGGGGCGAAGGGCCGCATCGGCACGGGAGCGGTGACGGACCCCGCCCCGCTGGAGTAAGGGACCCTGACTTCACTCTGGGAAGAGACCCCAACCCGGAGAAGGGTGCCCTCCCCCACCGGGGGAAGAGACTCCTGCCTCTCCCCTCACCGGCCAGGGGAAGGGATCCTTTGTAAGCCCACTGGCTGAGCTTACCTCTCGTCCACTCTGGCCCCCTGCCTCAGCAGCTGTGTCACCAGGCTTGCCTGGCCCTGCCACACGGCCTGGAACAGGCGACCCCAGCTGTGTGGGGCACAGGCCCCCTCCTTCCCTTTTTCCAGGGCCGCCTCAGAGCCTAGCTCCAGCCACCGCAGTTCCCGCTCTGCCTCAGCCTCTGCAGAGGTCTGCTCTCGCTGCTTCTCCTGGGGGTCGGTCTGGGGAGGACAAGAACAAACCCTGCAGCAGGCAGAGGCCGGGAAAGCCCAGCCCACTGAGGGGCTTGACTCCCAGTTACCCCCAAAGGCAGCGGGCTCAGTGGCTCTGTCCTCCTGCCAGGGGCCCTCTCCACAGAGAGGGTCCTCTCCATGCTGGTTCAGGCCCAGGTGCATACACCCGGTGACTTCTCCTCAGGAAACTCCTGCAGGCATGAGGTGGGGCTTGGGGTCTCCGAGCTGAAGATGTGGGGGGAGCAGAGCTGGCACTTATAGCTTCCTGGCTCACTGTTTACCCAGCAACTTAAGGGAAGGCCCTGCCTGACCACTAGGTCCTGTCTTCCCCCAGCCCAGCCTGTCTCCTGGGGAACAAAAGCCAGCAGGTTGTGGTGGACAAGTAGGAACATGCCTGCTGTGGACAGCAGCTCCTCAATCCCAACTTCCCCAGGGAGCATGCCTTTGATATGCCCTGACTTGCCCCCAGGGATACACCCCACAGGCCCCTCTGGGCCTCTCACCTTGGCCCTGCTGCTGAGACCACCTAAGTGGTGGAGCCCAGCTTCTCCTCCTGAGGGGGTGGGAGGCAGGGGGTTGTGATGGGACCCTCCTTCCCACGCAGGTGCCTCGGGGACAGAGCACTGGCCATGGGTTCTGGCACCAGCAGGTGACCTGGTGGAAGTGGGAGGGGGAGCCCCTGGAGAGTAGCTTGAGGCAAGTCAGCGGAGGCTGTGAAGGGGCAGAGCTGGGCAGGATGGAGGGAGTGAGGGGGAGGTCCTAGGGGAGCAGCCACTAGGGCACCTCTTCTCTGGGAGGGGGGGACTTGGCACTGCAGGAGAGAGGCCAAGCTCTGCCTTCTGGGAGGGTCACCTGAACTGCCGACCTTTTGGTTAGCAGCCAAGCTCTTAACCACTGTGCTGCTAGGGCTTGAAGTTTTCACCTAAAGCACAATAAAAATTTTAAGAAAAAAATAAAATATATAGAACATAAAATTTGTCATTTTTAAGTGTTAAATTCAGTGGCATTGATTTATTTACAATGTTGTACAATCACCATTATTCATTTCCAAAACTTTTTTATCACCCCAAACAGAAACTATCCATTAAGCAATAACTCCCTATTTCCCCCCACCCCAATTCCTGGTAACCACTAATCTACATTCTGTCTCTATGCATTTCCTGTTCTAGATAGTTCATGCTAATGGTATCGTGCAATATTTGTCCTTTTGTGTATGGCTTGTTTTGTTAAGCATAATGTTTTCAAGGTTTATTCATGTCTAAGCATGTACCCTTTTATGGGTAAATCACATTCCTTCGTATGTTTTGCCAGGTGGAAACCCCAGGTTCTGCTTGGTGCAGCTTGTCTTAGCCAGTAAACGAGAGACTGAGGCAGGAGAGTGGAAAGGCGCCTTTATTTCATTGCGAAAGGAAAGAAACAGTCGTCGGGGCTGCTGCCACCCAAGATTGCTCATCAAGGGCGAGGGGGAAGGTTACTTTCAAGGGGTTTCCAAGTAGGAAGTTCATAGAAGTTACATCAGCAACATTCTTAATCATGCTACACAGGCACAATGGGGTTTACATATAACTTCATGCATCACATGTTCAGAAAATTGTGGTTAAACTCCACCCAGAGACGGGGAAGTTACTACATATGAGGTATTTAATGAGCTAAAAGCTTATGCTGAATGTCAAAATGGCACCTAAAGCGGTTTCTGCCAATTTCATCGAGTTTTGGGCAGCAGTTAAGGAGAGGGGAACCAGGATTTTAATGTAAAGCTACAGGGCATGTCAAGCAAAGGAACCAGAATTTTAATGTAAAGCTATAGGGCAGCGTGCCAAGCCAGCTGCTTGAGGCAGTGGAATTTTCGAAAGCCTGGGGACCTCTGTCTTATATGGATATACTACAATTCATTTATCCATTATCTGTTAACAGACACCTGCATATTGCAAAATTTATATCCCAAATTTGCTATCTGAATAAACAAACACCCGCTATAAGATCTTGGCATGAGCGTTCCGGTGAACACAATTAGGTTTCATGCAAATTGGGCAAAAGGGTTTGGCGTGCGATGCCAGGAAGCTCCAGTCATCTTCTGTCAGGCATGTATCAGGCTTGCGTTCCTCAAATATGCTGGTCACTATTACTGTTACCTCCCCAGCCACTCGGGTCTGAGGGAAGCTGGCCAGCGTGAGATTTCTGGAAAACCCCATGGATTAGAAGAAAAGCTGGAAGGGATAGTAAACCTCAGGAGAGGACATAGAAGGGAAATGTAGTTAGTTGGTATCTGATCTCGTACAGGCTGCCTGCATTCAGCTCACAAACAACCTACTCATTAGTTCAAGCATCAAATAGCTATGTAAATGGTGTTTACAATGCTCTATGGTAGGCAAGAAAACCTGATTGGGCTGTTAGGTGTTAAGAGTATTTTAGTAATATTTGGGTAGGTTAGTTGGGGTTTTTGGCCAAGGAATGCCAAGGATGGACAGCAGATACCAGAAACTAGGAGAGAGGCCCACAGAAGGAATCCACACAGCCAAGACTCTAATTTGGCCTTTTAGCCTCCAGAACTGTGAGAAAATAAATTTCTGTTCTTTACAATCACCCACCCACTTGCGGTATTTCTGTTATGGCAGCCCTAAGTAACTAAGACATTGGATGTGCTTTGAATGCTCATCCCCATTTTAAGTCATGGAAGACATGCTCTGCTCTGAAAATTGCTATCCTGTCTGTTGTCAGGGTAGATTGTATTCAGACACAAGGGATGTCTGTAATTGTTCAGTGAGCTCTTACTATGTGCTGGGCACCACGCTAAGCGTTTCACGCACACCCCTCATTGCTTCCTCACAGCAACCCTACAATGTAGATGTGGCTTTCCTGTTTTACTGAAGCGGAGGGGGCCGAGTCTTCAGACGAGGGTCCCAGCAGGGCCAGGGCTGGGGAGCAGGGTGGGTGCTGATTTTACATGGCAGTGTCAAGACCATGGACTGCAAGCATTGTCTGGGTGAGCTGGAGGGGGAGGCGGGACCACAAGGGAGGAGGGCCCTAGGGCTGGCCATGGGGACAGCTGTGCAAGGCCGGACCAGAGTACACAGGAGCCAGCTGGGGAGATGGCCAGAGCCAGAGCTGTGGCCGCCTGGCAGCAAGAGGCTTGGCCTGGCAGCAGGGGAAACTGAGGCAGGGGTTTGGCCCCAGGGTACTGATCGTCCGGGCCCGCCCTTTCTGGGCCAGGGTCCTGCCATCCAGCTGAATCCTTTCTCTGGTGCCTTCCGTCTGGGTGGGGGCCTAAGATCCCAGTCTGAGTTGTGGGTGGGTTAAAGGGTTACTAGTCTGACTTCCAAATCCTGCTGTGATGAGTGAGCAGGAGAGGGAGACAGATGAGGATGAGGGAGGGTGTGCCTCTGACACAGCACCCATGCTTCCCCAGAGGCCCCCCGACCACCAGGCCTCAGCCCTGACATCCCCAGGGTGGGTGGGCCTGGCCATCCGGGGCCTGGGGACCCTACTGCTGCCCGGCTGGGCCCTGGCTGGACTCCTGCTCCACCTGCTGCTGCCCGCGATGGTGTTTCTGCTGGTGCTGCTGCCCGCAGCCGCCGTTGTCTACCTGGGCTTCCTGTGCCACTCCAGGGTGAGCTGAGCCCTCCTGGGGCAGAAGACTGCCTGGGGCCTGGGGAGGGGTCCTGCAAAAGCTCAGGGTCCCTGGGCAGAAGCTGAACCTGCTCCTTTCCAGCCCTGCTCCTTGCCCCCAGGGACATGTGTGCCCCTCCCTGGAGAGCCTCTTTCTTTGCCACCCCCCTACACTGGCTGTGAAAGAAGGGCTTTTGTCTGTTACCCGAGGGTACAGCTCTCTCCCCTCCCCCTGAGATCTCCAAGCCTTGTACCAGGGGCCACCAGGCCTGGACATCTGGGCTAGGGTGGGGAGAGAAAGGGCTTCCAGGGAGAGAAGATGAAAATATTGCCAAATATAACCCTCCCACAGCCCCTCCCCATCCCTCACCCCCACAGCCCCTCGCAGATCCCCCTGCCCCGGCTGGATTTTCCCTCCCGGGTAATGGACTGTGGCATGGTGTAGGGCCGGGAGGGTGTAGGCAGATGGGTCCCTGGTCCCCTCTCTCTAGGTATAGGGCAGGGGGGGAGGGGGCTGAATATGGGGAGGGAGGGGGACCGCAGAGAAGCTGGCGCTAAGGGTCTAGCAACCAGTACGATCAAGGTCAGATGCCAACACAGGGAGGGGCCAGGTGGGAGTAGGTGGGTGAGAAAAGTGGGGGTTGGGGCGCCAGAGGGCAATTCCCTGAGCCTCCTTACAAGGGACCCCTAGCTGGACTAGCCAGGGTCCCGGATCTCCCACTTAAATCTCACTGTCTGGCCCCTAGTCAGTCTCAGACTCCCCACTCCGCCTGACCGTAGGCCCCGCGCTGAGGACCCATACCCCGGCACTTGACAGCTTGCCCCGCCTCCCAGTCCTTCCGCTTTCACGCCCCACCCAGTTCAAGACCATGCCTCCACGCCTGCCCCGCCTCCTTCCGGCCCCGCTCTGGGTCCCGACCACTGGCCGCGCCTCCTGGTCTGTCCATTCCTGGGTCCCGCCCCTTCCCTGTGCCGTCTTGGTCCCAGCACTTTCAGGGCCACGCCTCCATTCCCGACGCGCCGACTTCAGACCCCGCCCCTTTCGCTGCCTCGACCCCACCCCCACCCCGGTCCTGATCGCCCGCCCCGCCCCCAGGTCCACCCGGCGCCACGACCCCCGTGCCGCGCGCTGCTGTCGGACGGTGGCTCCGCGACGCTCATCGTGTTCGGCTTCCTTTCACTGCCGCCGCTGCTCGTGCTAGCCTCGGCCGCCCGCGCCCGCCTTGCCCGGCGCCTCCGCCCGCTGCTGCTGCCCCCCTCTTGGGCCTCCAGTCCCCGCCGCCGCCCGAGGTCCAGCGGCGGGGAGCTGTCGGGCCGCGACCTGGACGGGGAGGATCAGTTTTGCACCTGGATGTGACCCCAGAGGTCTCTCCAGAAGACTCCGAGACCTCCAAATCCCTGAGGCCCCCGAGCTGTCCCACGGCCCCCATAAAGTTACCCCAAGCTGGTGAACCTCGGTTCTGTACCCGGGTCCCCGCTAGGGAAATCGCTCGGCGCGCAGTGCTCTGAGTGGCCACGAGATGGCACCTGATTCCCCCGGACCGAGTCTGCCCTCCCCAGAACTTTTCCCCACACCCTGCCCACCGGGCAGCACTGGTCGCCCCCTCCCTGCTGCATAGAGGCTGGGAAGGCCCCGGGGAGGAGGGAGATGGCCCTCAGAGATGCAGATGGCCAGGCTCAGGGAAAGGCGGCCCTCCTGGCTTCTTCCCCTGCAGCTGCCCTGGGCCCAAGTTCACACTCACAAGGAGCAGTCCTTGCTACCCCGTGTCTTGGTCACCAAGCAGGTCTCCACTGGTATTTCCAGCAAGTTCCAGAGGTGGTGAGGCTTGCTTGGGAGACATCCACACTCAGTCAAAAGCCAGAATGGTTCCAGAAACCCAGCTGGTGGCCAGCAGCAGGGCTCATCCTGTGACTGGTCAGGGCTCACCTTTGTCCAGGGTCAAGGCTCAGCCTTTGGCCAAAGGGGTCCTGCTCTCAGATGGCAGCTCTGTGACTTGTGGGTGGGTTTAGGGATCAGCCTGTGACCAGAGTATGTGTTTAAACAGGCACTCAGTCTGTTTTCTCTGGCTAATTTGAAGATCTTCTCTTTTTCTTTGGTTTTCTTTTATTTTACCAGCATGTATCTAGGTATGGCTATGGTCTTATTTCTCTTGTTTGGTATACATTGTGTTTCCTATTTTTATGAATTCATATTTTTCATCAGTTCTGGAAAATTCTCAACCATTATCCTTTCAATATTGTCTCATTCATTCTACCTGTTTTTTCTTGGTAACACCTATTAAATGTATGTTTCACCTTCCTCTTACCTCCCATGTCAGTTAATCTCTCTTTCCTATTTTCCATCTCCTTGTCTCTCTGTGCTGCGTTCTGGATAATGTCTTAATTTTCATCTTCCAGTTCCTTATTCTCTCATTCATCTTGTCTAATCTGTTGATTAAATCATCTGCTTAATGTAAAATTATTATTATATCTAAAAGTTATAATACTTGGTTGTTTTTCAAATGTATCTGATTATTTCTGATGGTCTCTTAGTGCATACATGATTTTTGGATTCCATCTTTGATTTCTTAAACATTTCATATGTAGTTATTTCATGTTCTGTACCTAACAATTCCAATATCCTAGTCTTTGGGTGGTCTAAATTGTTATTTGTTGTCTTTGCTGTTTCTCACTAATGATGTACTGTTTCTTGGAATGTTTGGTAATTTTTCATTGTTTGCTCACACCTGTGGTGATTCCAAGGTTTTTGCCTTGGGGATTTTCCCTCCAGAGAGCATTCACTTTTCTGGACATTACCAACCTGGGCTCCCTTTAAGCTCTTTGAGGATCATGGTTTCATAGCCCACAGAAGCATTCAAGGCTTGCTTCCTTGATTGCAGCATGGCTCTGTCTCCAGGGAATCCTCTGCATTCTCATTTGCTTAATTTCATCATCTTGGGTTTCTGCTCACTATTTTATTTCTGTATTTTTAATGTTTAAATTTGGGGTGGGGGCTTGGAGATATTTCCTTTACTTTCCTGTAAGCCAAGCAGTGTATTAAAAAAAAAGTGTGTTCATTGTAACTCATCCAGAATCTAGTTGTAGCTGAAAGACCTTTTAGAGGATGTAGTCCATTTTGTAAGATAATTCAAAAATGGTTGCAGCAGTACATCAACAGGGAACCGCTGGAAATTCCAGCTGGATTCAGAAGAGGACGTGGAATGAGGGATATCACTGCTGATGTCAGATGGGTCTTGGGTGAAAGCAGAGAATACAAGAAAGATGTTTACGTGTGTTTTATTGACTATGCAAAGGTATTCAACTGTGTGGATCATAACGCATTATGGATAACATTGCACAGAATGGGAATTCCAGAACACTTAGTTGTGCTCATGTGGAACCTGTACATAGAACAAGAGGCACTCATTTGGACAGAACCAGGGTATACTGCGTGGTTTAAAATCAGGAAAGAGGTGTATCGGGGTTGTATCCTTTCACCATATTTATTCAATCTGTATGCTAAGCAAATAATCCAAGAAGCTGGACTATATGAAGAAGAACATGGCATCAAGATTGGAGGAAGACTCATTAACAATGTGCAATATGCAGATGACACAACCTTGCTTGTAGAAAGTGAAAAGGACTTGAAGCACTTACTGATGAAGATCAAAGACTACATACAGTCTTCAGCATGGATTACACCTCAACATAAAAAAAACAAAAACCCTCACAACTGGACGAGTAAGTAACATTATGATCAAAGGAGAAAATATTGAAGTTGTCAAGGATTTCATTTTACTTGTATCCACAATCAATGCCCATGGATGCAGCAGTCAAGAAATCAAATGAAGTGTTGCATTGGGCAAATCTGCTGCAAAAGACTTCTTTAAAGTGTTAAAAAGCAAGAATGTCACCTTGAGGAATAAGATGCACCTGACCCAAGCCATGGTATTTTTAATCCCTCATATGCATGCAAAAGTTGGACAATGAATAAAGAAGACCAAAGAATTGATGTCTTTCAATTATGGTGTTGGCCAAGAATATTGAATATACCACAGACTGCCAGAAGAACGAACAAATCTGTCTTAGAAGTACAAACAGAATGCTCCTTAGAAGCAAGGATAGTGAGACTTTGTCTCACTTACTTTGGACATATCATCAGGAGTGACCTGGAGAAGGACATGATACTTGGTAAGGCAGAGGGTCAGCGAAAAAGAGGAAGACCCTCAACGAGATAGATTGACACAGTGGCTGCAACAATGGGCTCAAACATAACAACAACTGTTGAGGATGATGCAGGACTGAGCAGTGTTTTGTTCTGTTGTGCATGGGGTCACTATGAGTCAGAATTGACTAGATGGCACCTAACAACAACAACAACAAAGTCCGCCATATTGCCATCAGTGCTTAGCCTGTGAGCAACGGGCTCACAGCTCAGACATGACCAGGGATCAAGGCTTAGATGTGACTATGGCCAGAGCTCAATCTGGGACCAGGATCAGAGTTCAGGGTATGACCAAGACTAGGGTTCAGGGTATGACCAGGATCAGGACTCAGTCTGGGACCAGGGTCAAGGTTCAGGGTATGCTCAGGGTCAGGGTTCAATCTGGGGCCAGGATCAAGCCTCAGGCTGGGCCCAGGGTCAGGGCTGTTTTGAGCCAGATTCAGAGTTTAGGGTATGACCTGGATCAGGGGTCAATCTGAAGCCAGGGTCAGGGCTCAGCCTGTGACTAGGGTCAGGGCTAGGTCTGTGGCCTTGAGTAGAGTCCAGTGTGTGGCTAGGTCAAATCCAGCAGGAGTTCTTGGGGTTTTCCAACTGTTGTCTATGCCTAGCTCCGATGCCTTTCCTGGCCAGACAGGAGCCGGGCCTGTCGCCAAGCCACTGAGGATAGCTTCCCCTGGGCTGCCTTCCTCTCCTTCTGCCCAGGGCTGGGCAGGCTCTGGCAGACGCCAGGCTTCAAGGATGAGGACTCTCCTGGGAAGCCCTTGGCTGAGGATTGTCTTGGCCCTAGAGTCATCAAAACAACAGCTGGGCAGGGTGGGGGTGGGGAGGTTGCAGCGGGGAGCCCTGCCTGCCTGGAGGGGAGTCCGGATGGAGACAGGCGCCTGAGGCTGAGCTAGTTCCCTAAAGGTGTTCCCTGAGCTTCCCAGGCCACCCTGAGGCCGCACAGCCACCAGCTGGCCCAAGGATGTTGAATGCCTTGGCGGCAGTAAGATAATTGAACCTTGGCCCCAGCCTGGCCTGCTCATAAGAGGAACACCTGTGGGGGGCTGATGGCGGTTTGCACAAGAGGCCTTGTGGTCTGCTTTTGCAGGGAGGAAAAAGCAGCTCTGGAACATGAAGGCTGCTGCTGGCAGGGAAGCAGGAGGGGGTGGGGTGGGCAAGTGGTGACCACAGCCAGCTGGGGCAGGGGCTGATGCAAGGGAGAGAGGGTGGAAACAGGCCCTGGGGGCTGGGGCAGTAGGAGGGGGCTCTCCACCCTTGCCTTTGGCTCTCCTGCACTGTCCTCTCTCAGGGCCCCTCTTTCAGGAGTCCTAGGGGGTCTTCCTATTCACCACCAGCTGGCCAGGGTCCTGAGGAGAGAGGAGGATATCAGGCTAAGGGGGATTTGGGAGCCTCTGGTCACAAGTTTTCCTCCTCCCCAAGGCCTTAGGCAGTCAACTGGCCTCTGCCCAGCCCATCTAATAACCACCCTACCCCGCCCCCAGCAGGACCCCTCCCCTCACTGTTCTACCCTAAGCCCAGCATGGAGCCCATGACAGAAGCCCCCACCTTAGGGCTCTGCCTGGGTCCCAGCCCCCATCTTCATGGCACCTCTGCTCCTCACTCCCCGAGCTTCCACCCCGAATCTGGAGTGGCCCACTGGCCTCCCAGCCCTCCCTGGGCTCACCCAGCCCCGCTCTGAAGGTCTCCTGCCTTTGGCCCTCCAAGGGCCAAGGGGCTGAACCTGCTGGGCCGCCAGGAGGCCAGGTGAATACCTCCATGGGCCTGGCCTCTGCCCTGTAAGGACACACCTGGCCATGCCCGGGCCTCCACAGGAGTGGGGCAGGCCAGGTCTGATTCTGTAAGCCTTGGTGTGGCCTTTGTGTGCTCCCCTAGTGCCCAGCAAGGGGGGCACTGTCCCAACTTTACAGGTGAGGAAAGATTCAGGTGGCTCCCCACTTGCCCAAGGTCAGTTATTCATTTAGAAAGTATTTCCTGGAAGTGCAGGTGTCTGCAGCACCCCCCCCCCCCCCGCTGCCACCCAAGGAAGATCCCTCTCCAGGTCTTCCGCCTGAGCACACTTGCATCTCCTTCCTCCAGGGCCCCCACCCCCACCCCCTCTAGCCCCGCCAGCCTGAACCCCAGGGGTGGACCTGCCCCCACCTAGGAATGTGGGCCCATCCGGGTGCTAGGCAGTAACAACTGCCCAGGTGGGTGGGCTAACTCTGGGGGGCAAAGGCCTCTGTTCATTCCTGGTATCCCCCTTCCACCTCTGGGGAGGCCACTTTGCCAGGGTATGACACAAGCCTGTCCTTGCCCTGCTGGCAGTTCTGGACTCAAACCTCCTTCCTTCCCCATCTGAGCTCCAGAGAGCAGGAAGACGTGCCAGCAGGGAGGAACTTACAAGGTCTAAGCCTTGACCCTGTGGGAAGCAGGCCTTGGCCTGGGGTGAGGGTAGGGCTGGCCATCCTGTCACAGCAGAGGGAACAGCCAGTACAAGGCAAGGAGTCCCACCGAGAAAGTGGTCCCAAGATTTAGCCTGGTGCAGAGGCCGAGTGCCTAGGGACAAGGGACATCCCCCCACCCCAGCCTATTAAGAGTCTACCTGGGCTTACCTGGGCATCTCTCACGCAGCACCCCTAGGCTGCTCCTACACAGCAAGCAGAGCCACAGACCCCTAGCTACTCCCACTGTTCGATCCTGCCAGCCCCCTTGGCCTGAGGCCCTCCAGTCCCCCTCCATGGGCTCACACTGGCCCAGCCCCACCTGGAGGGATTTGCCCCTGCTGTTCCCTCTGCCTGGGATGCTTTTCCCTCCAGGCCTAGATGTCCCTCTTGCTTCTGTCTCTGCTCAGTGCCCCTCCCAGGGGTTGACCTGGCCACCTTGTTTTGACTGCCCCAGGGAAATAAACAGACACGTATCCTTGCTAACATGCACAACCCCCTTCTAGACAGGAATGCGCCATGGAGACAGGGACTCTGCTAGATCCCTGCCAGGCCCCAGCACCCTACGTGCCAGATGTAGCACAGAGATGAGGAATGAATAGATGTAGGTGCCCTTGCCATCCCCCATGCCCAGGTCACCCACCCCTAGCAGTATAACCTGACCGCCTGGGACTGGGTAGGGGGTCAGCTCTGGGGGCTGGCAGGGGAGTAAGCCAGGACCCAAAGGCCCCCCGGGACTGGTCCTCAGGCCCGGACAAGTCACAGACCACAGACAGGTGAGTCCCTTCAGAAGAATGTGTGGGTGGGGCTGTGGGGAGGCTGGTGGGAAGGGCCTGCTTCTCTTTGCTACCCCTTCCTCTGTCCCACTCAGTATTATGGGGAGGGGTCACCAGCCTCAGCCCACACCTCACCCCAGCTGCTTCCTGTTTCTGTGTCCCTGGTGTGTGTGGGCGCGTGCCTGTGATATGAAGGACATGAAAAACACCAGCACACAGGGCAGTGCGGGGGAGCAGGCCGCCTCTGCCCCCAGGCCCTACCCTGTGCCCTTGGCTGCGGTCAGGGGTGGGGTCAGAGGCCCCGGGAGCTGCCCTTTTCCCTGAGGTTGAGCATGATCACATAGAGCTTGGAGACAAAAGGCCATTCTTCTCCAGAGAAGCTGGATTGTGCAGCGGAGGAGGAAACATTCTTGCGGAACCTGGGTGGGGGCGGGGTGGTGCCCGGCTGGCCAGTGTCCCTGGGAAGTGAGGGAGGGGGTCCCTGCCCAGAACTCCCTCCACCTGCCTGAATGCAGACTGGCAGTGGGGGTTAGCTTTGGGAAGTGAGGCTTGGGACTTCCGGACCTGTGTCAGGCTGTAGGGGCAGAGTGGCCTCAGTCACACGGAGGCTGGCCCTTCCTCCTGAGTCCTCAGGTTGCCTGGACCAGGCAGGGGCTAGGCCTGGGGGAGGGGAGGCCTTGGGGCCAGGGTCTTGCTGTGACCTGGCCTGACCTGCTCCTCCTGCCACTGCCCCATCTCTCTGCCCATCGCTGTCCACTCCTGCCCCCCTCGCCTCCTAGGCCCAACGCCCTTAAAGAGGAGGCTTCCAGACCATTTTATTTATCCTTTCTCTGGCATCTATCTCTAGCTCTGCCCAGCCCTGACCGTTACACCCCTGGCTGACCCCACTCACTCCCTGGAGACCCTCTGCCAGCCCAGGTTTCCCCTCTGGGGCTGGGGGCAGCAGTGGGGGGCAGTGGGAAGCAGAGGCTAGAGCTGTTAGGAGAGGGTGCTGGGGGTGTGAGGCCAGAGCTCAGTGGAGCAGCAGCAGTGCCTGCGGGCAGTGGCCCAGCTGGCCGTCCTGAGGCTGGGCCTCCCTGGTCCTTTCTGCCTCTGATGGCAAAGCTGGAGGGAGGAGGGTGGCTGCTTCCTTGAGAGCCTGAGTCACAGCCAACAAGACCCACTCAGTTTTTCCAGAAGGTACAGAAACTTCCCCGTCAGCCCAGCACAGGCGGAGGTGTGATTGTGGGCCCGCCTGAGCCCAGCTAGGTTCCCTGCCTCTGGGGCTCTCCCAGGGCAGGCAGGAGTGGGGGAACAACAGGAGGGACTGCCTGCAAGCCAGCAGCCTCCCCACAGGGTGGACCCACCACGGCCCAGTACACTGCCAGAGAAGGTCCACAATGCGTGCACAGAGAAATAGGTTTGCACACGGCAGCTTGGGTGTGCCTCCCGCAGGGTCCAGGGTCAGCCTCCCCACTGGACCCCAGGCCCACCCACTCCAGCTGCTGCTGCCTTGTCCATGGTCTTGACCTCATCGTCCTCCATGGACGCAGCTAGCTCTCCTCAGCCCAGGCACCTCTGAGCAGCATACCCCTGGATCCGGAGCCCAAGCCCCACTGCTTCATCCACGGGGCCCAGGCGGGAAGCACCGGCAGTTTCTGGTCCCAGCAGAGGCCCGAGGTCTTTGGAGCTGAGCCAGCACTGCCACTGCCAAGATTCCCGGCAAGGGGTGGGGGACGGCGACGACACAGTTCTAGCTTGTTCCTGCCGCCAGCTCTTCAGCTCCGCAGCCAGGCGCTTCCTTTTTTAGGCAAAGTCGGAGCTCCCGCCTGTCCGCATTCCCCCACCGCACCTCACCTGCCAGAAAGGGAGGAAGGAAAACCATTGCGTCCCATCCGTCCTCCCGCAGAGCATCCTCCTGGGGGGATGGGAAGGGAGGGGATTTCCGGCAGAGACGACCCCACCCCCTCACCATGGCTGGGAAGTGTGGCCCCAGCGCCCTAGCTCTGTGGAGAGAACGGGCTGGGAGAGGGCAATGCTTACCCCACACGACAGCGTTTTAGGAATAAGGGGGCCGGGGCACTCCTGCACCTCAGCTCCGCCCAGCCCGGGAGATGCTGCCACCCTGCCTCACCTATAAGAGGGGATCTACCCTGGGGGTCCAAGGGCCCTCAGGACATCCCTGCAGCCAGCCGCCTCTGGTCACTTTGGGTCCTGCTAAGATCCTGAGACCCATGGGCCCCTGGCTCAACAGCAGGCTCCTCCTGATGGGCCCCTCCGTGGGAGGCTGGGGTCGGCCTGGGGCCTGACCTCACAGTGCCCTGGCACACTGGACAGAGTTCGGAACTCGAACGAGCCACCTGCAGCCCCATGCATCTTCCTCCAGGAAGCTGGGTGGGTGGGGGCTTTGCTTTGGGGGTTTGCGCACCCTAAGAAGTATCCTTTCAAGTTTCTCAGGCCGCTATCCCCTCCCAAGACCCTGTGTCCTTTCTAAGTTCCGCCCAAGATCCTTCCAGTCCCTGACAGTCAGTCCTTGAGGGCTCATGTTCCAGCCCCCAGACAGCACCCGTCGCCGGGCTCTGACCTGGCCAGGCCTAGAGATCAATAAGTCGGGCTTCTCTTGGGCCTGGCTTCAGGGACCCCTGCTCCGCGGAGTCACGGACAGGGTTCATGGGGTAACCTGGCCTGGTGACTCCCTGCTGTGCACCTGGCCGGGAGGTGGGGGAGGCAGCAGACCCCACAGCCTCACACCCGGAGAAGTGGAGACCATAGTGCGTGTGCCTGTTGGCGCGCGTGGGTGCCCTGATCGGATTTCGGTAGTGCTGCGTGTCTGGCTGTCTGCGTGTCGGCATCGCGGGGTCTCTGCACGTCCGGGCGAGTGAGTGCGCGAGGAGGCGGAGGCGGGGCCTGGCCAAGGGCGGGGCCTAGCTGGGGACAGGGCCCAGGGGCGGGGCCTCAGTCCGCGGGCTGTGCAGCGGCGCGCCCTGCAGCCCAGGAGCAACCGAACAAGTGGCGACTCAGCCCTGCTCCCGGTCCTGCAACGCGATGCTCGCCTGGACCGCGCTCGGCCTGGCCCTGAGCTTTCGGCTGGCGCTGGCGCAGAGCGGCGTGGAGCACGGTGAGTGCAGCCAGGCGGGCGAGGGAGCCGGGCTTCGGGCGCCCCTTCAGCTACCCGCGGCGCGCAGGGCGGTGGCTTTCCTCCCGCCGCCGGGGGCGAGGGGCAGCCGGACCAGGCAGCCCCACCCACCTGCGGCGGGCGGGCCCAGGTACCCCGGGCGGGCTGGAAGGCGAGAGCGCCGGGGCGTGGAGCCCGCCGTCTGCCCTGGCGGTGCATCTCCGTGGGATCGCGTGGCCTGAACGGGGAGGAAGAGGTGTCCCCTTCCTCACTTTCCCTACCCCTGGAAGAACTGTTAGTAGAGGGATAGTAGGTGTGTTGGAATCGCCACATCGAGTTGGGGGCCAGAACAGAACCGAGACACCCACAGCACCCCCCTCCGGCGGCCCAGTGGGGGGCCCTCTGCCCACCCGGTGTGCCGGGAGGGACAGGGAGGAATAGGAAAGGTCGAGAGGAGGGTGGTGGGGCCCTCGGACGGCTGCCACCCGTGTCCTGCTTCCGGGGTCCAGATGGCGCAGAGGTTGGGGGCCAGGGGAGGGGTGACATCATCTGTAAATGCTGTCACTGAACCCGGCCTGACCGCCTGGGCTGGAAGAGGAGGAGGGGCTTCGTCCAGTGCTTTGTCCCCCTCCCCTGCTGCTGTGCACACCCCAGGGCAGGCTGCCTCCCCTCAAGGCTGAGCTGTGAGGCTGAACTCCTCCTTCCTTGAGGCCACTTCTTCAGGAGACAGCTTGGGGGGTAGCAAAGATTTTGAGAGCAGCCCCCCCCACCCAGAGCTGTGCCAGCTGGGTGAGGGAGTGTGTGGGGCTCTCATTATACAGATGAGACATGAGCCCAGAAAGCATCGCTGCTGGTGCTGCCCCAGTGACATAGAACCCACTGAGCAGCTGAGCCTCTTGTTTGGCTCAGAACCACCCCCTCAGGGCCTTGGGTATCGAACACAGCAGGCTCTCGGGGTCAGCTGGGGTGAGGGCGGCTTAGGGCAAGCTCAGATCCTGGGGGTTCTGCTTTGGGGTGGGCTGTCTGAGGGGGCTCATGGCTCAAGGCTGAACCCTCCCGTCTCCCCCAGGCCTCCCGGCATCGGCCCCCCAGGGGGATCTGCTGTTCCTGCTGGATAGTTCGGCCAGCGTATCCCACTACGAATTCTCAAGGGTTCGGGAGTTCCTGGGGCAGCTGGTGGCCCCTCTGCCCCTGGGCCCCGGGGCCCTGCATGCCAGCCTGGTGCACGTGGGCACCCGGCCATACACTGAGTTCTCCTTTGGCCAGCACAGCTCAGGCGCAGCGGTCCAGGATGCCATCCGGGCCTCGGCCCAGCGCATGGGTGACACCAACACTGGCCTGGCACTGGCCTATGCCAAGGAGCAGCTGTTTGACATGGCAGCCGGTGCCCGGCTGAGGGTGCCCAAGGTGCTGGTGTGGGTGACAGATGGTGGCTCCAGTGATCCGGTGGGGCCCCCTATGCAGGAGCTCAAGGACCTGGGTGTCACTGTCTTCATCATCAGCACCGGCCGTGGCAACTTCCTTGAGCTGTCGGCCGCCGCCTCAGCCCCTCCCGAGAAGCACCTGCACTTTGTGGATGTGGACGACCTACACATCATTGCCCAGGAGCTTCGGGACTCCATTCTTGGTAGGTGGGAGGAAGTGGGGCCCTGGGGAGCCCCAGCAGGAGAGACTGGGATGACACTTTAGGAGGATCTGGAGCCAGGGCTATTGGGGTATTTGACATCACTGAGGGTAGCAGGGAGGGGAGTGACACAAGGCGTTTCTGTGCACTGTCCATGGACACACTGCAACCGGGTGGCCCTGGGAGCCTGCTACCTGGAGCTGTTCGGGACAGAAGGGCAGGCTGAGTAACCACCTCCGGGAGTGCTCCCTGCTGATGGGCACCAGCCCTTGGGCTGGAGATCCACGGAGTGGGCGGCGTGGTGGGCTACGTGTGTAGGTGTGGCTGATGGAAACAGAAGGCTGGTTCAAGTCCGGGAACTTGGCGGATGTGCAGGGGGCGACTGGCTCACGAGGCTCCCATGTCTGGAGAGGGGAGAGGCCAGGAAGGTCAGGAAGGGTGCTTGGGCCCTCTCCTGGTAAGGACAGCCAAGGAGAGGGCTGAGCAGGGCAGCCTATTGACCAGATTTGGACTTGAGGCTGGTTGTGGGAACTGCCTGGGAGGAGGTGGGGGTAAGGATGGGGGAACTGCTGCTGGGGCTGAGGGACACCCCTACCAGCTCTCTAGGGTGGGGAGAGGCTAGAGAAGAAGGGCATGGTCACTGGCCCAGCCTGGCTAGCCTGCTGCCGCCACTGAAAAATTGAAAAATGCCACTCACCCCGGGGTTCTTTACAAGTCTCGGCCTTCAGGTTAATCATCCACCCAAAGCCGGAAGGACTTGGACTGTGGGCTGGAGAGGGGTGGAGGGTCCTCCAGAAGATTTCCCCCAGGGACGTCTGGACCCACGTGGTCACCCTCTGTAGCTCAGCCTTCATGGAACAGCAGGATAAGGCAGGCACCTGGACAGGAAAAACCCAAGGCTTCTGGGCAGAGAAGTCTGGCAGAGGGGTGGGAGGCTCCTGGAACTAGGGGCGGGTCTGAGTGTAGGGGATGGGCAGGAGAGCATGCCACCCTGGTGGCTAGGGCACTAAGCATTGAGGAGGAGGAAGTGTCCAAGATCCTGTGATGCCACCCAGACATTTATCAAAGTTACCCAACGGCAGGTCACTTGATGGCCATGTGCTGCTTGGTGTCATGTGTAACACGTTTGTGGTCCCACTCTGGGGTCCCCCCATGCCCGTACTCCATGGGGATCTAGAACCTGAGGCACGAAGCACCCCAGAAACTCAGGTCCAGCTGCTCCTGGATTGTCCTGTCTCCACTACTCCTCCACAGAATCTGCAGGCTGCACATTTGGGCCCCCCTCTGCCCCAGTCCCCAGGGCTCTGCTGATCCCAGAGCCTGTGGGCCCACTCCAGATCGGGGTCTGGTCCTCTGTTCTCAGATGCCACTGAGGGCCCTGGCGGTGGTGGGGGTGGTAGCTGCTATACCTCTCCCCTGAGTTTGGGTTTGGGGCTGAGGCAGGCAGGGAAGCCCTGATGGTGGGAGGGGTGAGGGCTGCAGCCTCCTATCCCTCCTTCGCCTAGCCTCATGGCTGCTTTGCATATTATTAGCATGCTATTTACGGGTGAAAAGGCTGTTGGTCGTGGCGGAGGCTAGCCTGTCCAGGAGCTCACCATGTCTTCCAGGCCTGCGGGCAGGACCCCTGTCCTCCTACTGGGGGCCTCCAGTCTGCGGGGTCTTCCCAGGGTCACCAGTCAGGGCCCCAGCTTCAGCACAAAAGAGGTGACTTCAGTTCCCTGGCCCCATCCACCCGCAGACGCGATGCAGCCGCAGCAGCAGCAGCTCCGCGCCTCCGAAGTCACGTCCAGCGGCTTCCGTCTGGCCTGGCCGCCCCTGCTGACCGCCAACTCCGGCTATTACGTGCTGGAACTGGTGCCCAGCGCCGAGCCAGGGGCAGTGCGTCGCCAGCAGCTGCCGGGGAACACCACAGGCTGGGCCTGGGCTGGCCTTGAGCCCGACACGGACTATGACGTCGCTCTGGTGCCTGAGTCCAACGAGCGCCTCGTGGGGCCGCAGCACCTGCGGGTGCGTACGCTGCCCGGTAAGGTGGGGCCCCATCCACGGGCGGAAGGGCGGGGCTTTGGGTGGGGGTGGCTGGGGGCCTGACTGGAGGGCGGCGGGAGAGAGGCCCCCTGCCGGCTCACAAGTCTTGCTCCCCCGCAGATGAGGCTGGGCCGGAGAGGATCGTCATCTCGCATGCCAGGCCGCGCAGCGTGCGCGTGAGCTGGGCCCCGGCCCTGGGCCCGGCCTCTCTGCTCGGCTACCAAGTGTTGTACGGGCCACTGCAGGGCGGTGCGGCGCAGCGCGTGGAGGTGCCTGCAGGCGGTAACAGCACCACACTACAAGGCCTGGCGCCCGGCACAGTTTACCTGGTGACCGTGACCGCGGCCTTCCGCTCGGGCCGCGAGCGTGCGCTGTCGGCGAAAGCCTGCACGCCCCCCGGGGAGCGCAGCCGCGCTCCGCCCCTCCCCGACGCTGGGGCCCGGGGGCCGTGACCCCGCCGCCGCCCCGCCGGGACTCCGCGTGACCCCGACCCAGGCCTCGCGGCCAGAGGGCTCGGTCCCGCGCTTGCCCTCAAGGACGCGGGCCTCACCTGACTTCCCCGATCAGACCCTCCGCTGCCATCCTGGCAGCCGAGCACAACCGGCTGGGTCCTTGGGCTCCTGCAGACCCCGCCCGGCTGTAAGCCGGGCACACGGGGTATCCTTTGGGCAGGATTTAGAAGAGAGAGAGTCTGGGCAGGCTGAGAACAACCGGGCTGGCGCTGGGCCCAGGACGGAGGATGGTGGCCAGACCCCCCCCTCCTGTGAAGGCGTGTCCTTATGGTGACCAGGGCTGGCATTGGTTCAAGGGAGTTTGACCCAGCAGGTGGCTCTGAGTTTTCTTGGCCACTCAGGTCCTGGATATTGATAGAAGGAGGGCAGGGCAACGGGAAGCAAAGTGGCTCAGGCCAGTCCCCCGAAGGCTTCCTGGAGAGGACAGGAAAAGGAGAGGGAAGTGCTGGGAGGCTGATGGTGGGACCAGCAGCTAAGTGGGTGGGCCTAAGGGCAGTGCCTGCTGGAAACAAGTGGCCCTGCCTTCCTGCCCAGGACCCTGACACTGCCCAGCTAGCAGTCACTGGGGGGTAGAGGGTGTCTTTTGGAAGGAGGGGGACCCTTAAGGAAAAGAGAGCTCCCACCCTTGCCCCCTCCCAGGCCCCCAGCCCTGCTCCTGTGGGGGTGGGGGCAGATGGCCCCACCTAGTCCAGCTAAACAAGGCTCCCTGGGGTGGGCTGTCACCCCAGTGGTTCTCTGAAGCATCCTCCAACCCCAAGGGGTCACACTCATGGGCTACCTCCTGGTCACTACATACTATCCTGGGGCCACCCGACAAGCCCTGTAGGGCAGGGAGTTCCACCCAGGCCTGCCCTCTGCTTCGCCCAGAGTCTCTGCCCCAGCTCCCCTAAATGTCCCAGACTTTAGAATACAGTAAGTCAGACATAACCTGCGCCCTGCCGTTGTTAGAGCACTTTACTCCTTGTGGGAACGCTAACGGTGGACAGGGCAGCTCATGAGGGGCTGAGTGGGGAAGATCTTTGAAGGCCAGCTGGTGCTGGGGAACCGAGGGGAGAGGATGCCCCTCCCTCTTAGTGCTGGCGCTGACCACCGTGTCTTCTGTGACCCCCGTGTGCACCCTCTTTAGAGTCTTGCCCTGTTTCTGTGAGTGGGAACCCTATGAGGAAAGGCCACAGCCTTGGCCATCGCCCACATGGGGCGTCTAGTGGCTTTCAGGGCTCATCCCCATGCTGGTGCCCTCTGCTGGCAAAAGCATTGCCCTTTGAGAAGTTGATACTTTCACTAATGCTTGCTAATGGAAATAAAGCTCCTAACCAGAGAGACTGCAGGTATTGAGAGACGTGGTCAATGCTTAGTGGTAATCGGCAGGCAGAGCATCTTCAGTCTGTCTGCTTGGGCTGGTGGGTGGGGTGTGCAAGATTGGCCTTTCCCGAGAACCACACCCGAAGCATCAGGCAGCTGTGCTGGGCTGGGCACCCCATGCAGTGCTGTCTGTGCTCTAGGCTCCTGTCTCTTTTCGATCACAGCCAATGTTTGCCCGCATGTGTGATGATGGCCTGAGAGCAGAGGACCTCCACCCTGCCTGTGTGAACAGGGGAGCAGAGCAGAGGCGGGTCCTGAGGGCTTGGGCCAGGCCCCAGGGGCAGGAGAGCAGGACGACACAGCCCTTGGCCAGGCCAGCAGGTTAGGGCTCTGTGGGAGAGACTTGGGCTCCTTCCTGGTATCCCTCACCCATGTCAGGCCCAGAAGCCTTTGTGGGGCCTGGGGCTGCACCCTGGCTCTAGCTGGGCCCCTCAGGCTGCATGCTTACCCCTGTCTGTCCAGTGGCCAGTAGGCAGGATCTGAGAATTACATGACCCGAAGAGCTAGCCACATCCTGGGGTGGGGTAGGGCGGATGGGCTTGAACACCAGGAGGCCACCCAGAAGCCAGGCTGAATGGCTGGCACCATCAGCCAGGGCTGGAACCCTCCCTGGGCCTGAGGGGCAGAATGACCCCCAGGCTGGCCCACATTCCCCAACCGGAACTCTTGGGTGTGCAGAGTCTGAGCAGAGTCCACTTGGGAGCCTAGCCCTGCCCAGAGTCCGGTGCAGGTGGTGACAGCAAAAGGGCAGCAGCAGGACATCAGTGGGTCACCTCGTAACATCGTGATGGTCTCTTTGGATGGCTTAGTCACACCCACGTCCAAAGACAAGAGGGGTGACGGGCTCATCCCCCAAAGCATACCTGGAACCCCTTATGAGAACAGAGTGAGAGAGAAGAGATACACATGTCTCTCCCTCCCCCAACCCTGCCCCGGACCTGAGGCCCACCACTGTCCGCTCACTGTGGTAAGAGGTCCCAGTGCCCTACTTCCATGTCCAGGCCAAGGAGGTCTCCTCCTGGAAGCCCCAGTCTCGGAAGTGGCTGCCTTTGCATCCTCCAAGCACTTTTTCAAGGTCTTTGGCTCTGGACCACGTCTTGGAGCAGTGCTGGCGTCCCTGTGAGCTGGCTGTCCCCACTCCCAAATTCCTGGGCCCACCCCCTGCCTGGACACACAGGCCAGCTCCGCAGTGCACTCTGGGTCCAGGAGGCTGCGCCGACTCCCGCCTGCAGGTGCATCCACATCACGAGGTGCCGTTCCGTAAAGCTGCTGAGAGCTTTTCATCGCGAACCGAAAGCCAGAAAGGGCTGCGCCTAGCCGGTTCTGGTTGAGAAAAGCAGGCGTCCAGGAGACCGGGCATGAGGCCGGCTTGGGAGGATGGCCACGCGAGGAGACCCCGAGGGGCAGACTCAGTTCGCGCGCCCTGGCCATTCGTTGCTCCTGCGGTTACGTCTGCTCCAGAGCCACAGCCCGCGAGGCAGAGGGGAAGCTGAGGATTCCACCAAGGCCGCAGGCTGGAGGCCCAGAGGCCGTGTGGGGGCGTGGGGCAGGCCGCGGCGGCTGGCTGGAAGAACCTCATCCGCGCGCCCAGGTCCCCGCGAGGACCGCACGGCCGCTTCGCTCTCTGAGCGCCTAGAATATAAGCTGTGAGAGGCCGACCGTGGCGCGGATTCGGCGCGGGGTCTCCCGGGAAGCAGGGCGTCCGCGAGGGTTGGGCAGCGCCGGAGCCAGAGCTGGGCTGTTTCCATAGAGACGGTAATGGACACCACCGTTTCCATAGAAATGGTATTGGACATCGGCACATCCCGATCTCAGCCGGCTGGGCGGCCGGTGGGACAAACTGAGTCTGTCGTCTGCTGGGGAGCAGTCAGTAAAACCGAAGCTCAGATGCTTTCTGCTTTCTTCCTGGGATGAAAACTTGGTTCTAACATCCTTTCTTTTTTTTTTTTTTAAATGTCAGTGGAAGTTATGTCTCCCCCTGGCGGTAAGGCGAGGTGGGGCACAAGGAGGAACCTGCTCGGTGGGTTCCAGCCCTTGGAGGTGGTGGACGGAGTGGCTGCTCGCCTGCGGAAGGGGCTCTCTGACATTGCTGGGAGGGACTGGGAAGGAGCTGCAACGAGGCAAAGGGCTGAAATCTCCCCGGGAGGGGCGGCGACCTCAGTTACTGACATGTTCTCCTTAGGAGCTAAGATGCCTGCCAGTAATTGCCCGAGTCTCATAGGGGATTCACTCATGATGGATTATACCGGCTGCTCCCTAGACATGGAGCTTTTAAAAAAGAAAAGGCGCCCTTGCCCACAAGGGTAGGAACCAGCACAAGCAGGGAGGGAGGGAGGGCAGCAGGCGGCCTGCAGCAGAGCACAGCCCCTGCCACGGCACCTGGACAGGAGGCTACAGCTTACAGGGCTAGTGTGCTGCATGCTCTGGAGAATGTTGCTGTGCTGGGGAAGAGGCAAGAACCTTTTGTGCACCCAACCCACCGCATGGCCACCCCTCCAGCTCCAGGACTAGCCCGTAGGGAACATATAGGCCTTCCATGTGGGGGCAGGTGGCTCCTGCTCGCACAGCCATGCTCCCACCAGGGGCCCACTCACAGTCCTTCCCAGAGCATCTGGGACCATGAAGGCACAGCAGTGGCCTTGGGCTTTGAGTGACTTTCTGTCCCCTCTGAGCTCTGCTTTTCTCCTGGGAAGGTGGGGGTGGGAGAGACAGCCTCAGCCCTGCAAACAGCAGGCCTATTGCTCACTGGTGTGTCCCCTGTCACCAGTAAGGGGGGCAGGGCCTACAGCTAAGCCTCTGCACAAAGGCCATACCCCCCACCCCGGAACCCCTTGAAACATGCAAGTGTGTGAGGTTAACTGCAACCTCAGGGACAGCACCGGTGGTCCAGACCCTTCTGCTGGGTTGATTTGCAGGTCCAGCTAGGCGGGAGGGGCTGCTTTGAGAGCAGCGGGTCGGGGTCACCACAGTAGGTAACTGTTACGTAAACAGAAAGCCAAGCCACTCGGCTGTAGGGAAGAGCTGGCGGGCTGCAGGTTTGGGGCTCAGTCATCAGCCACTCTACAATCCGGGCTGAGATGGCAGGTCCCTGGGGCTCAGGCCAGGCTGCAGAGTGATTTTGGGGGGTAGCAGCAAGTTCATGCTGATCCCCAAGTTTAAGTGGACAGGTGTTGTCTGTGGGAGACACCAGGTGGGACTGGCAGTCGGCCACTGCAGCCTTAGTGCTAGGAAGCCCTGCAGCTCAGTCACTGGGGGCTGCGGGCTGGACTGCAAGTCCCCAGTTCCCCAGCAACCATGCCTACTATCCAGGTCTTGGGAGCAGAAAGGGGCTGGGTTCCCGGGGGCTGCCACATGCCCCTGGTTGAGGCTGCCGATCGGGCTGGAGGCCAGGCTGTCCACCTGCAGCTTTAACTCCTGCAGGCTCTCTTCCAGGCCGGAGCATCTCCACAGAGAAGCGAGTGGGCTATGAGGTAGTAGGGAGCTCCGTCAGGGAACAGCAGAGCACTGCCATGGTTTCTTGTTTCCACTCCTAAGAACCTAACATTTTGTCAACAAAACATCAATGCTTTGAGTGGGAGGCATGTTAGAATCCCCTTTATTAACTTAGTGCTTTTAGGAAAGGTATGTTTGTTCTTCCCAGAGGCTTCCAGTATGAGACTTTAAGTGAGAAACACAAGTGGACGGGACATTTTGGATGCCTGTCAGGGAATGGGAAGGGTAAAGGAGTCCAGGGGTCCCCAGATACCTCTGACAAAGGGTGGAGGTGACCTCTGCTTTGTCCTCCTGCAACTTTTTTTTTTTTTTATCATTGTGCTTTAAGTGAAAGTTTACAATTCAAGTTAGTCTCTCATACAAAAATTTATACATAGTTACGTGACCCTAGTTGTTCTCCCTGTACTGTAACAGCACACTCCTTTCCACCCCGGATTTCCCATGTCCATTCAACCAGCTCCTGACCCTCTCTGGGTTCTCATCTTGCCTCCAGACAGGAGCTGCCCATTTAGTCTCATGTATCTACTTGAGCTAAGAAGCACACTCTTCACGAGTATCATTTTCTGTCCCATAGTCCAGTCTAATCTTTGTCTGAAGAGTTGGCTTCGGGATGGTTTTAGTTTTGGGTTAACAGAGAGTCTGGGGGCCATGTCTTTCGGGGTCCCTCCAGTCTCAGTCAAACCATTAAGTCTTCTCCTGCAACTTCTTATAGCCACCATCTGAATCTTAGGATAGCAATTAACACTTTATGTTTGAATGAAGCCAAGTCAAATGGAACTGACTTTTTAAATGCAGAGCTTTATTTCCAAAGTCACTTCCCTTTTCATATAAGGAGATACATGAGTTAACCAGATGGTTTACTGAGGATGATGTCTTTGGATAACAAGTACTGCACATCTCTTACCCGTTTCCTTGACCTTATCCAGTGAAGCTCTGCCAGGGGTGGCTGGCCCATAAAAAATATGATGACGGCTGCTGGGGGCTTCTGGCTATTAACTGGGAAACTCATTTGGCATTTCTCTTCATTTGGAAAGAAAAACAAAAATCAGATTTATCTTTGAATTTTAAACATGTTTTTCCTATTTTGATTCAGGCTTAAAATTGTTTCCAATCTGGTGGGAAAAATCACTCCATATAATTCTGTGAACTCAACCAGCTCCATCAAGAACTCTGTCACTGAATTGTACATGCAGAAATTGTTGAGAGACCGTATGCTTTGTTATGTATATTTTCACAATTAAAAAAAGATCTAAGGGGCAACTTTGAAGACTGGGCAGAAGACACTGACTTCAGACATTGTGGGCTCCAGAGCAGTGCCCACCCCGGTCTTCTGGTCCTTGTTTCCCTCAGCCCCAACCCAGTCCAGCTGGCTCCTCTGTGCCTGAAGCAGGCACCTTGCATGTGGAGGTTCCTGAGAAAGAGCGAGTGCTCACTAGCCAGTGACCAGAGCCTGGAATGGGCCTCTGCACTCTCTCCTGACATAGGCACCCCACTTTGGGGCTGGAGGGCTGCCCTGCTTTTCCATACTTCTGGTGTTGGAGTTCTCTATCTGTCCCTTCACCCCACCCCCACCTGTGAGTCACTTTTGAATAATGCAAAGGATCACACAACCCTCGACCATTGATCATTGTGGTTTTCAGACATACCAAAGAAGATGGGGAGAGCCTGCCTTTGGGTCTCCTCCTTCATCTTAACCACAGTTACAGGAAACTGGCCTATACCGAGATTCTGCTGCCTTATTTTAGTAAGTGCCTACCCTGCGCACTAGCACAGGAGAAAGATGTGGCAGTCGGCCTCCACAGAAATTTACAGCCTCGGAAACCCTATGGGGTCACTATGAGTCGGAATCTACTTGACAGAAGTGGGTTTGGTTTAGGTGTGCACTAGGGGAGTCCATTGGTCGTGCAAACGGTTAATGAGCTCGGTTGCTAACCCAAAGGTTGGAGGTTGGGGTCTCTCAGAAGAAAGGCCTGATGATCCACTTTTGAAAAACCAGCCATTGAAAATCCTATGCAGCATAGTTCTACCCTGACACACCAGTCTCCCTGAGTTGGGATGACTCCGAGGCAACCGATGCGCGCTACAAACTCACTGGGCGCAGCCTCCTCCCTTTAGGGACTCCCGTTCGCCCCAATGCCCGCCCAGCGACGACAGGTCCGGGTTGCGGGGTCACAAGGGGTGCCGGGACGAGGTGCAGGCTGGCAGCACGACCGCCATCTGGCGGCCCTCGAGGACCTGCCGCCGCTCCCCGGCCCTCGGTCGCGGCGGTCCCGGGGTTCCCTGCCCACACCGGCCCCAGGCGAGGCTTTCCCCGCATAACAGCGCTTCCTCCAGGTTCGTTTGTTCCGCTGCCGTACCCTTCGTCGGGGACTCACCGTGGGGGAGCCCAGACCCTTCGCATCAAGCACCCCTGCTCCTCCGCTGCTGCCAAGTAGGGAACGCTGCCGGGCGCCCATAGCAACCGCACACCGTGCCGTTGCTAAACTGAACTGACATTACCCGGCCGACAGACAGCCACCCCGTCCATTTTGATCCCGCTCGGCACCCGTTCCCAGGTTCCTCGCCCCGCCCCCGATCGCCTCTACCCCGGAGCCGACTGTCCCGATCGCGGCGCCCGCTGTACTCGCGGCCAATCCCAGGGCCGGCATGCGGCATGTGGCCCTCACGCGCTTACGCCACCCGGAGGAAGGGGCGTGTGTCGCGCCTGCGCAGTGCTCCTGACTGCCGGCTCGCGGCGCGTGGAGGCTGCCCGCGGCGCGCCAATCTCGCTCGCGCTTGGGTCCCGCTACTGCGGCGGCGCTTGGGCTCCCGGGGCCATGTCGTGGCTTTTCGGCATCAACAAGGGCCCCAAGGGCGAGGGCGCCGGGGCGGCGCTGCCTCTGCCGCCCACGCAGCCCGGGGCCGAGGGTGGCGGGGACCGCGGCGCAGGGGACCGCCCGGCGCCCAAGGACAAATGGAGCAACTTCGACCCGACGGGCCTGGAGCGCGCGGCCAAGGCGGCGCGCGAGCTGGAGCACTCGCGTGAGTGCAGCGGGGCCGGTGGGGACCGGGCGGGGTCGGCTGGGTGAAGGCCGGGGAGGCAGGCGGCTCCTTTTTGGAGCACGAGCGACGCCCCTGGAGCAGGCGTATGCCAGGCCCTTCAGGGGCGCTTACCCTTCCCGTCGTCTTAGCAGTCAAGCGGCTAAGCGGTTGTCAGCAGTCCTACTTACGAGGAAACTGACCTCCATGAGTAAACTTGGTCAAAGCCGTGCAGGACCCTTCGTCTCACCACTTGCACCTTCTCGGCTGTCACGAGCACTTCAGGTGAGGAAACCGGTGCAGTGGTGACTCGGAGGTTACAGGTAGCAGGTGCTAGGGCCGGTTACTGCCGAGCACGTGGGCTCCTTTGCAGCTGCCTCCACGTGGGACCCGGATGGCGTGGCCGGGTCAGGAGATGTGCTTGTGTGGTGATTGGTAGCAGTTTCCCACGGAGTAGCAAAGCACACTTGAGGGTCATTGGCTTTTATCGAGAATATAGCAGATTTGCATTTATAACTGGAAAACGCTAGCATTGGGGTGGAAAGGGTAACAGCCCTGGCTCTGTCTGACTACCTTCCTGACCCCAAGGCCTTCAAGATGTCAGCAGAGAGTGGACCTTCACTAACTCATGTCTTCTTCCCAACTTTCCTTTCTCTTGTGACTTTAACGAGTTGTGTCAACCCAGTGTTTAAGATCTAGGGTGTAGAAGGCACGGAATAAATATCAAATGAATGAACACAGTGGCTCTCAAACTTGTTTGTTTAATCAGAGGTACTCCCTCTTCTAAGGAGATACTATAGAGAAGCTTAGGTAAAGGTAAAGCCTTTTTGTTTAAGGAGGGGGAGGGCCTGGTACGATGTGGCTCAATCCCCCTACTTTCCCAAAGGGGCTACAAGGATATCCAGGGCAGGGGTCTCAGCCTGACTGGTTCTCAGATCCCCAGAGGGACATTAAAACATTCAGATGTTTGGGCCCAGTCCCAGGAGAGTATGTCCTGATAGGCCTAGCTGGGACCCCCAGAGATGAGGTGTTTTGTTTGATCCTTTTAGGGCCTGATAGGTTTGGAGAACAACAGTTGGGGCTTCAGGGCACCTAAAACAATGGCAAACCTTCGACACGTGACAACATACTTTCTCATTGAGGCTGGGAGACTACCTCCTGCCCCAGCTCCTGTGGGCACTGACCACGCCCTGAGCCTCCATTTCCCTGACCTTTAAGCCCATGTCCCCCATGCAGTTGTACTGGCCTGTGTGAATAGCCTTGGGTGTGTGGAGGCAGGGCAGCTGAGGGGCCTCCCGTGCATCCTGTCTGCTTGTGCCTCTGAATGGCTCCCAAGTCACTCTCCTTCACTGTTGCCCCAGATCTCCTGCCCTGAGACATTGTCCACCTAGGTCCCCACTGCCTTGGACTGTACTCTCCACATCATCTCCCAAGCAACATCTCCAGCCTCGAGGTGCATGTCCCTTTGTAATCAGTTTCCCTGTCCTGGGGATTCTGTCCCTGGTGTCTCCTTCACTTTTATTCCTGCTATTCCTCCTGCATCACTGCTGGCCAATGAAAGAGGTTTCTCCCTGGCCTCCTGCCCCTTCCTGTCCCCAAGTCCTCCTGCGGCACTTTATACCCTATCTGTTTGGTGGCACTGTTACCGCCGAGGGCACGGATGCTCTCCAGACTCAATGGGTCCTTGTCTTTCTCTTGTAAGGATACACAGAGGAGACAATTTTTGGGTTCAGCGCTAACAGATTTATTTTACTTGTGACAAGGAAAATGAGTCAGTCAGGGCTCACACCTGTTCAAAAGACTAGATCACAAGGGGAAGCAAGGCTAGGGCTTACATAGGTTCGGTGGAAACAATAGAGCAATGAATGTTCAGTGGGTTCCTTCAAAGGGGCGGGTACTCCTTGGAATGGTAGTGCATACTAATTAGGTTGCGCGTGCATCTGGAATCCAAGATGGAACCTGCTGATATTCAGGACGGAGGGGGCAGCTCTCTGTGTCACTTGTTATGGAATATGGCACAGGCTCACTGATCTTCTGTATTACCCTGTCCCCTTCAGTGGGCCAAAATGGCAGTTGCACTTTGTTCTTTTGCACATGTGGAGCCTGTAAGATGGGCAAAGGGACTAGAAAAACACTAAGGAGAAAGTAGTAGTTCACAGGTTGTTCTAACATGTGGAGCCTGTAAGATGGGGAAAAGGACTAGAAAAACACTAAGGAGACAGTAGTAGTTCACAGGTTGTTCTAACCTTGTTTTGTGTTGACAGGATGTGGTTCCTGTTTACCCAACTTCTAGGTGGTAGTCTTTTAACAGCTCTTATATTCCGCCAGCACAGTTAACCCTATCTGTCTCAGCCCCTCTGCCAGCTTCTTCTTCCTCCCTGTGGTCCCGTTCACAAGCCACCTGGCACCAGCTTGTTGACACCCCTTTGCCTGGCAGTCGGGGCCTGCCCTGGATTGGCCTGAGCTTACTTCTTGCTTGATCTCACTGCTGTCTAGGTGCAGGTCCCGCCAGGCAACTGGAGATGTCCTCAGCTGCTGCTTCTTACAGCCTGACCACCCGTCCCTCATTCCTGGGGTTGTCCTGGACCCCTTTTGGAGGCCAGAGCAGCATGTTTACCCTGAGCTGTCGGAATGAACACGATGGCTCTGAAACTTCTAGAGCAGTTTGGGAGTAGTAGGTGCTTAATTAATACTTTGGAATGCTTGACGCCTGCTGTGGGGTTGTTTCAAGGTGATGACTTGTCAGTATTGAAGTTGTAGCTGTGGTTTAGGAAGGTGCGCTGCGGTGCCTGGATCCTTGTTTCCTTCTTCCCAAGAGTCCCTAGGGGAGAAACTGCGATCACTGTTTTCACATTAGCACACAGCCTCAGAGAGATTAATTTAGCTTGCCAAAGGTCATGTCGTGAGTGAGTGAACAGGCCGCTTGCTGGGACACAGGCTCAGTGCTGTTGGACTGTGACCCCACCTGCTGTCCTGGGGATAGGCTCCTTCCTGCTCTCTGTCACTGCACAACCCCTAGCTCTCTAGTTCCCGAGCTCACCAGTTGGACGATTGGGGACCTGGTGCTTACACACGTGTGTGGGCTCTCCTTCGAGACCAGTCCCCCCACAATGCATACTGCCCAGCCCCAGAGATCTGGGATAGGTTGGCACATAGGGTTTCAAGAGGACAGGCCCAAAGGCCCCACCTCAAACATCCTGAAGGTTCTTCCAGGCCCTGACATCAACCGCGGCTCGGTTCATGTCCAAGCAGCCTGATCTCAGCCGCCACAGCTGCTGCTCCCCCATCCAGATGCACATGTGAGCTCACGATATCCACTTCACCTCCAGAAAGAGAGAACCTGAACAGCAAACAGTCGTGGCTCTAGCTAACGATGTGCTTCTTCGGCTGGCAGCGGAATGTGCTAAGGCCTGCCGCTCACATAGGAAGGTGTCAGAAACGGGCCTTTGGAGGGACAGAGACATAGACACGGTGAAGCAAGGGAGCCTGTTGTGAGTGTGCAGTCAGGATGGTGGTCTGTGGGTGCTCACGTGCCTTCTCTCGACTGTTCATGGGCTTGAAAATTTTTGTAATTAAAATCTGGTGATGGGAGAACCATGCAATCGTGGATATTTTTGAGAGACCTGACGCTTAGGGTTTTCAGCTGGGGGAGTGGTGGGAAGTCATGCTCCTCCCAGAACATGTAAACTGGTGGATATCAGGTCCACTTCATGAACAAAACACACGTAGAAAATGGCTGAATGTACAAATGCAGCATGAAATCACCACCACAACCACTCTGAGCATATCTGCTTGTTTCTGGCTTGATTTTCCTTCGTTTTTTCTCATGCCTGCCTTGTCTGCTTGCACTGGGATGAGCAGCAGCAAGTACTGGAGGTTTAGGATCATTTATGTGACGTAAAAAGTGAAAGACACTAGGCTTTGACTTGGTTTTTGTCTGATTGGCGACGTGACGCCTTTGGTGACACTGCCTCCCCTCAAGTTATGGGGATAGCTTTTTCTCATGAAGCCTTGGGTATCGTGCCGGCCCACTGGGGTGTGATCGCCCACACTGGGCTTTCTGCAGGATCGAGCAGGTGGGAGGAGAAGGGGCAGCAGTTAGGGGGCAGCCAGGTGCAGGGAGACCAGGTCTAAAGGCTGTGACCTCCCACGGCCCACTGCAAACGCATGGTTGGTGGGGTCCTGATGGTCTGCTATCCCACAGGCCACGCCAAGGAGGCACTGAGTCTGGCGCAGATGCGGGAGCAGACACTGCAACTGGAGCAGCAGACCAAGCTGAAGGTGGGTGCCACAGGCAGGCCGCGAGCCCTTGGCCGGCCAGGGCCCTGGGGTGGACCTGTGCATGGACGGCAGCACCTTTCATCACGTGCTCCACGTCCAGCTCTCCAGCTCATAGCTTCAGAGGAGGGGGCAGGGTGAGAGCAAAGTTGAGGTGCTGGGTGCGCAGCTGGAAAGGCGGAAGTGGCCTGGTCACCCGAGGGCAGCTGGTCGTGACCTGTGAGTGGAGCCTCTCCTTCACTGGTTCCCCTGGGGCGCACAGAGAGAACGTCAGGAGGGACAGGTCTGCCTTCCACTTGCTGGCTGTGTGCAGCGTAGTCGCAGAGAGTGCTGGCTGTGTGTACTGTGTTCGTAGCGTGCAGCGTAGTCGCAGAGAGTGCTGGCTGTGTGTACTGTGTTCGT